CACTGTTTACCAACCCACACCTCGTCCCCAGAGAGCTCAACTGAAATTGATATTTCAGGAGCCAATATATATGTGTGTGTGTGTGTGTATTTAGGCATATTTAATTTTCATGTTTGATTGATTAAGTTATGAAGGTTATGCCTGCTTAATTTGATCATAATCCTTTAATATTCAAGAATATATATATATATATATATATATATATATATATATATATATATATATATATATATATATATATATATATATAATAAAATAATACAAACGTGCATCCTGGCTGCTCGCTCAATGAATATAAAATGTTTCCTTATATGGAAACTGCTAATAATACCATTACCATTACGGTAAACAGTACTTTCATACGACGCTGCTATGTTCTTGGACAAATCTATTCAAAAAAATAAGGACTTCAATATTTGCTAATTAAAATTTTGACTTTGAGATGCAGAATGGCCAGTGAAATTTTCAGCACCCCTACGTATAATAAAAAGCATGAAATTATTTAAACAGATCGTAAAGCTATCAAAGCTATTAATGTAAAGGGTAAAAAATAACTTCACATCGAAATTAGATAAAATAAAAATTATACAAAAAAAAAAATGACATCAAACGTGTTATAGAGCAGCAGCAGCCATCAAAAGGAAGAATTGGTGTCAGGTACTAAGGTCTATATTCCGGTTTGTCCCACAGGACAATAATAGTAATAGTGAATTAATTCCCCCCACCCCAATTATTTTTGGAAAAACGTTTCATTTCCAGACGAATTTTTATTTGATTTTAATATAGTAATTAAGAAACTGAGGCACTTTGATGTACCCGAGTGGTGGCTAACACCTCTATCAGACATATGAGTTGACAATTGGACTCGTTTCAAATTCAGAATGTCAGTAATATCCCATGCGTGATACACGCTTAGGCTATCATGTATCTTCCGATACATGACTGACGAGTCAGATTTTTTTCCGCAGTAGGTTGCCATTTTTTCTGCGGTAGACCAGTTGCCATCCAAGGCTATAGAACCCGGTCTGTCCTACTATTTTCCAATAGCTGAGTGGGAGAAGAAGATGACTCATACCTTTCCCAAGGGTATTAGCACGTAAGTGAATCTAATAGATTCGACTGGAATTCGAACTCGGCTCTCCGATTCCTCAATCCGGAGAGCCGAGTACGAACTCAGAAGGGCATAAAAAGAATCAAGATCGACGTATAAACACATCTGTAGCTAGTTTAGAAACATTATGTTTTGGATGCGTTTTTTCATCCTTGTCTTGAAAGGGCACTTTAGGTAAAAAAAAAAACAACAACAAAAAAACGTATATATACGTCTACGCCGGGGAAAGGGCTAAAACATTGGTTAGTGAATTTTGACCACATAACATTTGTGAATGAATCCTTGTGATATGTTGTTCAGATTTAAGACACAACGAAAACAAGGCACCCAATAACTGACCAGTACTAAATAATAACAGGGTGACATTATCCAAGGCAAAAGCGGTAGGATTAGAACAGTCTACCCTGTAGATTAAATAAAGTGTTTATTCCGAAAATTCCCTGAAGGTTACACGAATTTGATAACGGCAGAAGGGGGTTATAAGGAGACGTTGTAATAATAGCAGCAATGATGAGGATATTAGTCCGAATATAACTGTTTCAAACTCTCTAATCGCTGAATACATGTTACTCATATAGCTTGCGTGATGTGTGTTCTGTTGGGAGCCTAAACTAGACATGTATTCATTAACCTTAATAAATGAAATATCAGTTCAAGCAAACAATAACGCAAAATTGGCGCATCACAATCTTTTACGCGTCATTTGTCTTAATTTAAGCTAGTAATTTCTTCCGTTGAAAGTTTGGCGCTACACAGTCTTTTCCATGTCATTAGGCTTGATTTAGAGTGGTGTTTCCAATCATTTTGTCTTGTTACAAAATTAATTCAACATAGCAAATATCGTTTCATAGAAGTCAACTGAGTTCGCCTGTCCTGGGTTCTTGGCGCAGCTCAGTCTTCCTAATCAATATTTTTTAACATTTTGTCTCATCTCAGGTTTGTAGATATCGATTCATGAAAGACAAGTGTGTCAGCTTCAGCAGGAAGATTGGTGCGATTCTCTCTTCCTTCCGCAAAACTTAATATTGAAAATGCGGCGTATTTTCAAAATGAAGAATTTATTTTTGGTGTTGATGAAAATAAATTTTATCTTCAATTTTTTTCTTCTATCTTTGCGCTTATAACTACCTGAGCGATATTTCACCAACGGCACCATAAACATCAGTTTGTTTTTCGCTATGGAACATCGGCATTGGTAATAAATTTTATTATGAATTTTACCTGTTTTTTAAACTATAATTTATATTACTTTTTGCAGGATCTGGTTATTTTTTTTTCTTTAAAAAGAGATTGTCATAAAAGAAGAGTCTAAATTATTATTTAAACTTATTCGTGATTTGATATTTTTCAAAATTAATTCTTTTGGTTGTGGTATCATAAAAAAAAACTGTTCTACAAAGATCTGAGGAAATAAAAATACAAAATAAGAAAAAAAAATCACAAAAACAACAGAAAGATGATCGACCAATAACAATTTACTGAAAGAAAGTGTGAATTAAAGAAGGAAGAAAATGTTTGAAAGTTTTAGAGAAAATAACAATCAGAACACGCGATATTATTACGCCTGCAATTCTTTACTAAATGTCATTTCTTTTCAGAATGTACGCAATCATAAGACTCTAGAGCGTTCTTTGATTTTTTTTTATTTCTAAATTGTCAAAATTGTTTGGGGGAAAATCTTGAGAAAGTGACTGGTATGGTGTCCGTTTAAATTCTTCACGATTTTGATCTCAGAGTTGACTTTCTCTTTTTGATTGGTAAATAAAGCACCTGCTTTATTTACCTGTCAAAAAGAGGGCGAGTCAATGTTTTTCTCATAATTTTACAACCGAGTTGGAGAAATAAACCTGCCGGTAGTGAAACGACTATCAGTGTGCCGATTTCAAATTCTAAGTTGCCAGATTTTGATCAGCACCTAAACGATTCTCTCTTTCCACTTTCGACTGAGTTCAAAAGCGTTAAGTCGGCCTTGTAGACTATGGAGTCGGCTGCCTTGTAGACCATGAGGTCGGAAATCTAAGGCACACGAGCCACACGTGGAACACCAAGGAATTTCCAATGGCACGTAGCCACAAATGACAACCAATAACTACTTCAAAGCAAAGAAGATATGTAACTGTTTCCATTTTAATATATACTAAAGTATATATACTATATATTACTATATAAAATATATTGTAGAACAGGTATATTGACCTTGGCTTGTATAAAAATACGTATGCACAATGAGTGATTTTAAAACCCTACGTCGGCACATAGTCAGCAAAATGTTTCTGGCCCCTTTTGTAGGCGATGACTATCCCCCCCTTTACAACCCCTCTCCTACCGACGCAACCTTGTAAGTCTCCCAATACTCTGTCGCCAGCAAATTCTCTGAAGATCTACATTCCTTAGTTGAACGAATTCAGACATTTACATCAAAGAACCGCCATCTTACGTACAGAGGGCCGAATCATTAATATTCCCTTTGTATTCCATTGGTAAGGAGGAAGTTCTAACCAAGAGCTGCTACTTTATGGTAGAGCCTCCTCAGAGGATGCTTACAAAACACTACAATATTAAGCTCTTTAAGTTCAGGGTCCTACAATAAAATGCATAGACTTTCCAATTCTTCCCACTACGTCCGTGGAACAATCAGCTATCCTCTAAGTTTAGTGGCTCTCAGGTATTTTATCGGGTGAACATTTAAAAAGAAAATGCGTTCACTTTCGCATAAACATGAATTAATCTCTTTTATGTAACCTATGGGTTTAATAGCAAGGTAGACTGGGTTTTCTAGACTTGGCTGGCAACCAGTTTAGGGGAATGAAAACACTGAATTCAAAACAAATCTGAAGAGGAAGTAGCATATTACACTCTCTTTTTCCAGGAAACACACTGTTGCTAAGGCTGCACTAGGTGTCGTCCCTCTAACGTCATACGGGACCCGTCGCGTGTGTGAGAAATGGTGGCTTGTCGACTTTCCTAAGTGAATTAGTATTAAGCGAACCTAACAGCCTTGACTGTAATTCGAACTTTGCTAGCTGATTCCATTTTCTGCCAGCATAACGGTTGCGCCATCCGCTCCTCTAATATTATACGGCAATATGACGTAGAGGAATTCAGATCTAGAGACGTATCGTTGTCTGAGTTAATATGGATTTCGGCTGTTGGCAGTGAGATAAGCATTTTTACCAAGAAGAGAAAACGAATGGATCACAGATGAGATTCTCGATATGATGTAAAGGAGACAGAAAATGTTGCCAAGATCGGAATACAGAAAACTGCACCACGAAATAAGGACCAAAGGCAGGTAGACTAAAGTAGAGTGTCTAAAAAAATAAAATGTGCAGAAATAGATAGATTGAGTACAACGAAGGAGGTGAGAAGGGTAATAACGAGACAGAAGATATGCTCGTCTAAAAGCTGTATAAAATCCAAGGACGTGACGCTCATATTAGAGAAGGAAAAATTCTTCAGCGCTGGAAGTAATGTATTAGAGAACGACGAAAGAGAACAACCGTCAATACACAGAATTAACGACGGGCGTGAAATTCTAAAAACTGAAGTAAGTCCTGCACTGGCCAAACTGAACAGAAACAAAGCGGCAGGGACAGACGGATTTAGATGATTTTGCCCCCGACTCTATGCCAGAGGAAAACTTGAAACGAAGAAGGCACAATGAATCACTACTCCGCATATTAGCATCAGCCATGCAGTTGAAATACAAAGGTCTATGATGATTAAAAGATAGGAGATTTATTTAAGATTTTCACTGCTAACAATCATCAAAGGTTCCGCACTGAACATAGTTACCGTGAAAAAAACCTGTCCCCAGTAAATGTGATACACGTTCAAATCTCGTCATGATCTTTTTTTTTTTTTATGTTTTATGATATTTCGCGACTTGATGCGTCACAATTTCATTAGGGATGTAAAATATTTAAAGCGTCAGAGATGTGTTCCTTACGATGGATGCCGAGAAAACTATGGACACAGAATGTGACAAACGTGAGAGTTCCAAAGAAAATGTGGATCGACGAAGAAAGAACTGTCAACAATCAGAAAAATATTGCTGAAAAATAGTGGACCACAATAAAGGAAAGTATATTTTAACGCACATGGCATATTTAAAACTGGAGAAGCAAAAGAAAAGAAAAAAATACCTGTTTGACGACATGGAGTAAATGAATGGGGAAAGAAGAATTGCAAGGGGAAAAGGGGAAATATTAAAGGTACAAGAATTATTTAATAAAAAAAAATGCAAGATTAAGATGCGATGAAGTTTGCTAAAAACAGTGAAAGCGATTAATGTAATGCCTTTCCACAAAAAAAAAGCTTATATTAACGAAAAAGAAACCAATATTCTTGGAATCTCCTTTCACGCTTCAGAAAACTACAGGTGTCAAGACGACCATTTTTATATCGTTGTGTAATTGCGTGACGGCAATCCATAACACAACTATTTCCGCTTTCGAATATCTATTTACATGTTTCATTGACTCAACAAAGCCTTATTTGATCGAAACCGAAATAGTTCATCTGCCACCCGACACCAACAACATTTCTCCTCTAAAGTTATCTCTGCTTGGGTGTACACTTACTTTCTTCTTTGCATCTTTCCTTTTTTATTTCTTTCTTTCTTTAATTGCATTTTATATTCTCTCTTTGAAAATTCCTGAATTTTTTTTCTTTCTTTCTATCATTTATTTTCTCTTTTTGCACATTTTTTTTCTTTCTTATTCTGCATGTTTTTTTAATATTTTTTTTATTTCTTTTCGTTTTATATTCATCCATTCTATCTTTTTCGTGCCACGGCATGTTTTCTGTTTATTTAACATTCTTTTATCTTCTTTCCTTCCATATTTTCTTTCTTCATTTTTAATTAAATTAGATTTTTAATTTTATTCAACTTTATTATATTTTTCTTTCTTTCATTTTTAGCTTTCAAATTGTCGTTATTTTTTTCTTTCTTGCATAGATCCACCTTTCTTTCTTTGTGTAGAATATTTTTTCTTTCTTTTTCCCTTTCCTTCTTTCTTTCTTCTTTTTTTTCTTTCTTTCCTTCTTTCTTTCTTTTCCTTTAACTTCTTTTGCTTTGTTTCTTACCGATATTTCTTTTTCTTTCTTTTTTTATATTTCTTTCTTTCTTTCTTTTTTCTTTTCTTTCTTTCTTTCTTTGTAATCAACTATGTAGCATTCTTTGGAACGTTTTTCTTTTCTCTATGCAATGGTAGTCTTTCTGTTTGCATTGAAACATCATTCTTCTTTTCTCTCTTTTCCTTCTTTCTTTCTTTATTTCTTTCTGTTTTTTTTCTTTCTTGCTTGCTTTTCCTTTTTCTTTCTTTCTTTTTCTTTCTTACTTTTTCTTCTTTTTTCTTTCTTTTACTTCTTTCTTTTTTGTTCTTCCTTTTTTCTTTCTTTCAATATTTCTGTATTTATCTGTCTTTCTTTCTTTTTTCTTTCGTTTTCCTTCCATCTTTCTTTTCCTTCTTTCTTTCTTTCTTTTCCTTCTTTCTTTCTTTCTTTCTTTCTTTTCCATCTTTCCTTTCCTTCTTTCTTTCTTTCTTTCTTTCTTTTCCATCTTTCCTTTCCTTCTTTCTTTTCTTTCTTTTTCTTTCTTTTCCATCTTTCCTTTCCTTCTTTTTTTTCTTTCTTTTCCATCTTTCCTTTCCTTCTTTCTTTCTTTCTTTTCCATCTTTCCTTTCCTTCTTTCTTTCTTTCTTTTCCATCTTTCCTTTCCTTCTTTCTTTCTTTCTTTCTTTTCCATCTTTCCTTTCCTTCTTTCTTTCTTTCTTTCTTTCTTTTCCATCTTTCCTTTCCTTCTTTCTTTCTTTCTTTCTTTCTTTTCCATCTTTCCTTTCCTTCTTTCTTTCTTTCTTTTCCATCTTTCCTTTCCTTCTTTCTTTCTTTCTTTCTTTCTTTCTTTTCCATCTTTCCTTTCCTTCTTTCTTTCTTTCTTTCTTTTCCATCTTTCCTTTCCTTCTTTCTTTCTTTCTTTTCCATCTTTCTTTTCCTTCTTTCTTTCTTTCTTTCTTTTCCTTCCTTCTTTCTTTCTTTATTTATTTATTTTTCTATTTTTCTTTACCATTCTTTCTTTCATTCTTTGAACATTTATTTTTCTTTCTTTTTTGCATGTAATGTTTTCTTCCTTTTTATACAATTTTATTCATCCATTTCTTTCTTTCTTTCTTTCTTTCTTTCTTTGAAACATAATCTTTTACATTGAGGACATTATTTTTTTTTTTCATTCCATACCGCTTTTTTTTCTTCCTATATTTACCTTCTAATTTCCTTTTTCTGTCTCTCTTTCGCTTGCGTTCTCGTTTGCAATTTCATGAGCGTTATTTGCACGGGAGATCTCGGGTGCGTGACTATTTTCTGCGCCTCACGTCCAAGAGAAATCAATGAAGCACAATTTGGGAAATCCTTTTGTTATTTAAGCTTTATATTTTCCTCCCCCTCCATTTTTCATTTCATTATCGATTTTAGTTTTATATTTGACAAAATCTTTGCGGAATTTTTTTTTAAAAACCTGTGCATAATTTATGTCTGTCAATTGCTGTGAATTTTTATAAAATTCCTTTTTTGAACTAGTAATCATCAACATCTTTCTGCGAGCAGAAATCAAATCTACCAACCCAAAATAATCATCTTCATTTTCTCTGACACGTTACTATTTATACTTGTTTCGTATAACAGTTTGAAATAGAATCAAGAATCATTATTTGATTTGAACTTAGCAATAAATGAATACAGATTGTGTGTTTACAATTACGTTAACTTTCCAAGAGATTTTATTCCGTGTCGGATTTTATTATGCAAATCAATTTATTCCCAATAAAATTAGTAAAATTATTACCAATGAATATGTTATATTCCGTGCTAAGGGAATAAATACTTAACACCAGGTGGGTAATAGAAGAAAGGTTTATTGCACACAAGTACAATATGAAATACGGTACAGTTATACACACAGGTCAATCTAATTGGAAGGTCGGACGGGCTTGCATCGTCTCTATCACTTCCCCTCCCATGTCTCTCGTAGACGGTTGACATTATAGGTACTTGCTACCTATAGTGTAATCATTTATGGGGGTGACTGGCTATTCCATTACATCAGAACATGGAAACATTTCTTGGGTTTGGTAGTTCATTTGGCGTCGATGATTCGCCATGGCCGATTCGGCGTCAGAAAAATAATTGGCCTACTTGGCACAGCCATTTAGGCGTCACACTGTTTCGACGTCACTGTCTTTGACCAGAGGCACCCCCCTCCACGGCAAAAAGGGTAAACACATTGAAAACACCCAACTTTCAATATGACTTTTTATTCATTTAGGGAATTAAGGATCCTAACGGAATGATGTAAATTGAAAATTAAAAATACTGTACAATGTAACCCGGATATAAGAGAGTTGTCGGGACCGGAAAAGTCTCTTATATCCGGTTTTCTCTTATATCCGGGTTTGGTCCATTTTATATACATTAACACAGGCTCTAATTTGGGACCAGAGAAAATTTCTCTTATATCCGGGTTTCTCTTATATCCGGGTTTCTCTTATATCCGGGTTACCCTGTATTTCAAAAAAAGTATGTGAGTAACGAGAGAGTTTTAACGGAATTGGAAACAAAAAGGACGCATACTTAGAATCAGAAAGATTTAGTTGAAATTTTTAGGGCACATACCGAGGAAAGAATGTTTGGAGAATCTGACACACATTGGAACGAAGAGGCAGAAGGGAAATTCACTGAATAACCTACGTAACAATATTGGATGTCAGAACAGGGATTAGGTGAGATAACAAAGGACAAAATTATCTAAGAGCAGCAAAGGATAGAAAATTGTGAAGAATCATCATTTGTTTTTCATTTATCGTAGAATAATATTAGGATTTAGTTAAATAAATTTTACAGATTAATTGTCACATTTGCAAGCAACAAAGAAGCAAGTAGAATTATGAAAAGACAAAACATTGAATAGAAAGCGGGAAAAGAAGAAGTTGTTTAGAAAATAAAAAATAAAGTTGTACAGAAAGAAAGAAAAACATTAATAAAGAAAGAACGAAAAGGAAGAAAAAGAAAGAAAGAACAAACAAAAAAGAAAGAAAGAAAAGAATGAAATTAAGAATGAAAGGAAAGAAAGAAGGAAAGAAAGAAAGAAAGAAAAAGAAAGAAGTAAAAGAAAGAAAAGAGGAATGATGTTTCAATGCAATAGAAAAAAGAGTGATCTATGGCAGAGAGAGAAGAAAAAATGTCAAAGGAATGCTACAAAGAAAGAAAGAAACAAAGAAAGGAAGAAAAGAAAGAAAGAAAGAGAGAAAGAGAGAAAGAATGAAAGATAAGGGAAAAAGACAGAAAGGAATGGAAGGAGGAATGAAAAGAAAGAAAGAAACAAACAAACAAAAAGAAACAAAAAAGATAGAAAGAAGTAAAAGAAAGAAAAAAAGAATGATGTTACATTGCAATAGAAAAAAAAGAATGATCTATAGCATAGTGAGAAGAAAAATGTACAAAGAAGGTTGCAAAAAAAGAAAGAAAGAAAGATAGGGGTAAAAGAAAGAAAAGAATGAAAGGAGGAATGAAAAGAAAGAAAGAAAGAAAGAATGAATGAATGAAGAAAATAAAGAAAGAAAGAGAGAAAGAATGAAAGATAAGGGAAAAAGACAGAAATGAATGGAAGGAGGAATGAAAAGAAAGAAAGAAAGAAAGAAAGAAAGAAAGAAAGAAAGAAAGAAAGAAAGAAACAAAAAGAAACAAAAAAGATAGAAAGAAGTAAAAGAAAGAAAAAAAGAATGATGTTACATTGCAATAGAAAAAAAGAATGATCTATAGCATAGTGAGAAGAAAAAAATGTACAAAAGAAGGTTACAAAAAAAAAAAGAAAGAAAGATAGGGGTAAAAGAAAGAAAAGAATGAAAGGAGGAATGAAAAGAAAGAAAGAAAGAAAGAAAGGAAGGGGGAAAAGAAAGAAAAAATATTACGTACAAAGAAAGGTAGGTGTACCCATGGTAGAAAGAAAGAAAGAAAGAAAGTTTGAAAACTAAAAACGAAGAATATTGCATAAAATGAGAGAAAGAAAAAATAAATAATAATGTTTAATAAAAAAAAGAAAGAAATATAATTGTTAAATTTATCGTCAATATTTTACATATATTTAAAATTCAAAATGTCCACACTTTACTTACACAAGAGCATTTAATCTTTTCACAACTCAACTTCTTGATCACAGCTTCACTCAAATTATACGAAGATTTCATAAGAGCTTCTTTCAGCTCTGACACATCTGAGAATGAGATACGTGTAACACTACTCTCAATTATGGCTTATTCCGCAATTTGATTAATATCAGCGCATGATGAAGGCGAAATGTACCTGTTAAGTCATCCCTAGGAATGTCTCTTGCAGCAGTTCTACTTGAAATTGGCAATTTCTGCAAAGAGCGTCTTAATAGAAAAATCTAGTCAACAAGAGCAACACAGTTCTCTCCAACATTTGTTGGTAACAACTGCTATTCACGTTCACTCCTTATATGATTTGTTTCCGTCGCTTGAAATGCATTCTGACACCTTCGGGAATCTTTCCTGCTGAAGTGGCGTAAAAAAACTATCATTGTAGTATTTGTATACAGCCTCAACCCATAAATATATTTTCGTCAGACCAAACAAGCATTTTATCTGCGGCATGTTGCATTTCTTCTATCTGCAAAATAGTTTTTTTTTTTGTTTTGATGCACTCTATGGAATCTGTTGTCATTGAATCTTGTATAGTTCCAGGCCCAAAACCTCTTACACAGTCCTTGTCTGATACTTCCACCGAAATATCTAAATCTTTTGCCAAACTCCTCAGGCTTCACCGTGCATTTCGCTTGTCGACGGCTTCAGTGTCTCCTAATGGTTTAATAGTTAAAAATTAATGGTTTCCTTTTTTTCTTTCAGATTTAACAACTCAAGTCCTTGACAATTTCAACCATGGAAAGATTAAAAATCAAACAATGTATGAAAGTTATCGAAGTCTATTACGAAAATGGACGTTCAAACAGAAATGTAATTTTAGCCAACATAATATCTAAGATGTTGCTATTTTCTTGTAGGAAATAGTAAAATCTTAGATATTATGAGTATCTGATATTTCTTTTGCTGAAGGTTAGCCCTCATAATGTCAGTGTTTGAAATGAGAGAGCGAACATATGCGTTTTCTCTTCGTGGTGGATGTACTATTCAAACCTTAGATAATATGTTGAACTCTAGGAAAAGGTGTTCCAATAACTGGGACCAATTTTAAATGGGAATTAAGTTTAAGTGTCTAATGATCTTTTTTCTTTTTCTTTCAGATTTAACCACTTAAGTCTTTGGCGATTTCAACCATGGAAAGATTAACAATCAAACAACGTGTTAAAGTTATCGAAGCCTATTACGATAAAAATCATTAGACGCTTATATTTAATTCCCATTTAAAATCGATCCAAGTTATTAGACTCAGGCTTCATCGTGCATTTGGCTTGAAAAGAAAGAAAGAAAGTCTCTCTTAATGGTTTACTAGTTAAAACTTAATGGCTACCTCCTGACATTGGATTGAGTAAGCTACTTTGCTGCTATTCAAAGTTTTTCCATGCATTAAAATCAGTTTCTTCTGCGTACATTTAATTTTTTTTCATCAGCTCACAATTCTACATACCAGTCATTTTCAAGGCGACAATTTGATCGCGTTTTGTTTGAGTCGCCATATTTAATTAGAATGTAAACCATAAAACAAAAGTATGTCGGGAAACATTATGTAAGATGTTTCAATTTATGTTTAAATATTGGGTAAATAAAGAACGTTCCAATAAATTGCACTGATTTTTAATGTGAATTAAGTTTAAGCGTCTAATGATTTTTTGTTTTTCTTTCAGATTTAACAACTTAAGTCTTTGGCAATTTCAACCCTGGAAAGATTAACAATCAAACAACGTGTTAAAGTTATCGAAGCCTATTACGAAAATATCATTAGACACTTAAACTTAATTCACATTTAAAATCGATCCAAGTTATTAGAACACACTAAATTTATACTGCACCAGATAGCAAAACAAAGTTACTGAACTGAAGATGTCAACGTTTCTTACTGTAATTAGCCAGAATGATTGATTCGTTTATCAA